TTGAAATGGAATGAGAATTTTTATAAAATTGTGTATTTTTTCATTAATATCTAGACAATACAAAGTCCATCCAATTTAAATAAAATTATTTTTAAGATATTTTATGTCTCATTTTGTGTTATCTGGATATCTTGTCGTTAAGAAAACATATTAAAAAACAAAATTGAATATATCAATAAAGAAAAATAATTATTTTATGTATTTTTTTGATATAATCCATCATTTTTAGATTGAAATTTCTAATAAATATCCGAGGATGTATCATGTCGCTGTATCATAGATGATCGACAATCCTATAGAAGTTCATGATAATTAAAGTTTAAACAATTAACTCATATTTCATATCATCATTTCATATCATTATAATCATTATAATATCATATCATATCATTATAATATCATATCATATTATGATATTAATTTTATAATTTATTATTTTTTTACTGTTTCTTAGAAAAATAATATATTTATAAATTGATAATATTTACTTAATTTAAAACATTAAAATTAATTTTAAACATTAAGGCATTTTTATAATTAATTTGTTTGATTATTTATAAATTCATATACAATACAAAGTCCAAAATTAGGACATAAGTCGTCTTTCGCAAAAATATCTTTAATATTTTAGGCATGTTTAAGATACATTTTTATATGCCCACAATTAAAAATTTATATCCATAGTCGATAATATCGATACTCTTCAATTATCTTTGAACTTTCCCTATATCCTTTTGATAATTACAAAATTTTGCTCAAGGTTTGATGATTATTGAAAGATAGAAAAACTATATAACTGATATAAATTTATAATAAGATGTTTTGTAATTATTTTAATAAGAATAAGAATAAAAATTAGTAAATAATATAAATCTATGTTGTAGTTTATTTAGTGCAAGTATTTATTTAATTCATATTTTTAATGATTGTTTAAAGTTTTTTATGACTTTTTTGATCTTTTTCAAATCTTATTTTTTAGAACTGATCGAATGACAAAAATGTTCGTAATTTCTATTTTCTCCGCTAGATGTCGCGTTCAGTTCATTAAGTTATTAAAAGATTTTTAATTTTTTTTATTATATGATTATGGAGAGATTAATAATGATATATCTTTATAATATTAATTAGCAGCTATTATTAATGGCTTAAATATTGTGGTTATAGTTTACTGATTAATTATCCATACTTATTTTACAAATGAATTTATAATATGAGCTTTGAAGCCATATGCGTACTCGGTAATATTAGATAGTAATTAAATTAATTAATTTTGATATATATACGAAACTCGATAAGGTTTCATCACGTATGTATTTAATAATTTAAGATTTGAATTATAGGTTGATTGAATCGAATATTTCTGGTAAGTTTTCAAATATCGGACAAGTGATATTTAAAAATATTTAAAGAATAATACAAATCAAAATATATACAGATATTATAGTTTTTATTTAGAAAATTGTTTCTTTTTCTATAGTAAAATCTAAGTTTATTTGTCACTTTTTAAAAATTAATATATTATTTTAAATTAAGAACATCTTTTCTATAGTAAAATTTCTATAGTAAAATATATAAAAAAATAGTAGATTTGTAAATCAATATTTTTTTCTTTCTTTTCCACATTATTGACATTATAATTCTGTCCTTCTTTATTTATTTGTCTTTCTCTTAGTGTAGTTTATTTGTCTTACATATCTAACCAAAATCATATTGTTTCTCAGGAAAATCTTGGAACGAAATTTTTATAAATACAAATAATTTCTAGATTTTGGATTAAAAATCACAAAAAGAATTAAGAATAGGCGAATGAATCAAATTAGGTATTAATGCTTATTTTATATTATATGAATGTATATACATGTATATTTGCATATGTTTCGACTTATAATGAGTCATTGCGATAATATAAATAATTAAAGTAAGGGTAAAATATTTCAAAAACTTAAACAGTAAAATAAATTAAAACTAGCAAAAAGACCATTGATTAAAAAATAGATCAATCTTACTATGTAGCTGTCCGGACATGAAAATGTCATGAAAATATCAGTAGAAAGAATCATATATCGTATCTCATGATATAAAATTTTGAATAATATTACCGTGATACAGATTAATAACCAAATATGATATTCTAATACGAATATCAGATCAATAAAAGAATTTATTTCTGATATATAAAAAAACTAACAAACTATAATATGTGATTATATAATCAATTTTTTTTCGAATTATAAATATATTTTTATAATGTAAATTGTAATTCTTTTAACAGCTCTGTGATTAAATAAAATATTTCGCATTTCTCAATTAAATATAAATTGAAATAAAGCCTTTTACAAGGTACTTTCAGCACTAAACGTTATTGTTTCCTCCGATATTTTTTTATACAATCTATAATATATATATATATATATATATATATATATATATATAGTTATATA